TAGAACTATCTCAAAGTAAAAATTTAAATTTATTTGTATCACTGCGAAATTCACTTAAAATCAAGTATGCTGGGAAGCATTCAGAAGGCCAGCTATGATAAACTAACCAACTGTTACAATGAACTTCACCTATATACAAACGATTATACTGAGCTTGAATCTCCCCTTTCCATATAGCATCAGTATCACACTTAGGTTTTCATTTGAATACAATTTGGCCATGTTCCTTTGCCTATCCAAATTTGATGATGTTTGGATTTCTACCTAATGTCATTAAGGCTACTAAGTGATGTTCATCTGCCAATAGTCTGAAACACAAGAATCAGATGAGAAGATCCTAGGTGAAGGAAAACTGAATGTTCTTAAACCCAAATTTAAATCATGGCAATCAATTTTGGAATCCGTTCTTTCTCATAATATAAATATTATATTAGACTTGATGTTTTTTTAGAAAGCACCAGTAATAACCCTCTTCTCTCCGTGTTTGAGATTTCCAAGGGAGCAATGACACTGTTGTTCTCTCAGGGCTCAAACATATGCCAAGAGCTCAAACAAGTGCTGTTCTCTCAAGGCTCAAACAAGAAAAAACGTTGGATGATATTATGGTAACAACATTAAGGAAAGGCTGGGATAATCAGCTGAACTTGCTTGATACTGGAAGTACAGCCAGTGAAAATTGCATTCATTTTGAAACAGCAAGCGCATCTATGCCTTAAAGCTTTTGATATACAACCCTAAGAATTAATTGGCAGTTCAGTAATCTTTGCCTTTCTCTGCATTTTAAGGGACATCAGCATCCACCCCACACCTAGTGGCACTCTGATCAGCACTCACAGAATAGAAGATTGTTCACTGGAGCCATGCTCTTCTAAACACCGCAAATCAGAGCACGGTATTTTTCTCTGCACATAGCTCACACTTGCAGAATCTAACAGCTAACCTTTTCCACTGATTACTTAGATCTGCTCTTGGAATAAATCAAGCATATTCCTGAGAAGGAATGCTAGGAATGTACAGCTGGAGGAGAAGATACCCACAGAGCAGTTTGCCTCGCCGCAACTCTGTGGTAGATGCGTACCTATGCGTACCTGCCAGCATCAAGAGTAGCACTAATTAGAAATAATCCTACCAGCTGAGCCTAAATGACACTACCAGGAATCCCATGGGCTTTTCAGTCTGTCCTTTCTTCCTTACTTCATAGAAATAGAATCTGCTCCAGGACAGAGATCAGATCTTTTCATATGACCATTTTTAATTCAGTTGCTCAAGTGACAATGAAAAAACAGATATCATTTGGGTCAAAGTGGGGGCTTTTAGACCCCTCATGAGAAACACAGAGCCAGAAGCAACCCACAGCAAGCTGATGAGCTAGAGGTGAGCTGAGCTGTGCCCTCCCAGCCAGAAAGTACCAGGATAAAACTGACTTTTATGAGTTCAGATTAACTTTGTCTTATCTCCTTTCTTCTACAGGCTGCTCTTCCCTCTCTTACATGTTTGAACTTCTGCTTATTAGCATATTAGGTCAACCCCCCTCATTACAACTTGTGCTATGTGATATTTCTGATTTTCATCTTTTTTGCTCAACTTCTCCTCATCTACTGGAGCCACGAATAGTAATTTTTTCCCCAGATGTTTGTCCTTTGATCATGCCAGAGTTGACTATAAACATTATGCCAAATTGGGCTTCCCCAGTTCTATATAAATGTTTACTGTGTGTTCAGAGGTGCAGGGAAAACAACAATCAGCTCTTACTGTTGGAGTCACTAACAGTTTTTATTCCCTCACTTCTTTTACGTTAGGAATATTAAACTTAATACATCTGCAGTCTCGATGATGAGAACAGTAGCGCATAAGAGGTTAAGTGACCAGATCATTTCCTGGTACATAAATTCCATGAGTGTATTGTTGACCCTAATACTGATTTTTTTTTATACTTGCATTGGAAGCAGAGGGAGGGATTATTTGCTATTTGCTGTGGAAACCATTTGAAATTTGATCTGTAGGCTAACCTAATTACAGTGCTAATGATAATCAGACGAGATGTCTGGACTGATGGCTAAAGCCTGCTGTGAACTTAAACCTCAGCGAACTTAATTTTAGCCAGCTACAGCAACAAGGATTGTATACTCTATTTTGCACAGTAGGTAATTGAATTTTATATACATATGAACATATATCATAGAATCACAGAATCATTTGAGTTGGAAGGGACCCTTAAAGGTCATCCAATCCAATTCTGTTGCAGTGAACAATCAGGTACTCAGAGCCCCCCAGCCTGATCTTGACAGAGATGTAAACATTCTTCTGCAATATGTTGCATACAACTAAATTTCTCTTCTGCTAATAAATGATTCTGCTAAATAAAAAAATCCATGGTCTCTGGATGGCTGATATCAGATCCTGGTTGCAGCACGTAATAAGGAGTCTTTGCCCTTGAATGAGAGCCTAAGTGACACCAGCATCAAAGCAGTGCTGTCATAGCATGTCTCCACGATGAGGGAGTTGTTACCAAGTTTTGCCTGACCTCATCATGCAGACTTCATCTTGGGAATCTATCACATGCATTCTGGTATTGATAAATCAAGCACACAACTCATTTCCAAAACGTGTGCCCCTGCTGGATGCATTTCTCTGCATTAGCCTTTCACTCAGAATTCACAGGGAGTGGTGCCTTCAGGCTCCGAAAGGAGGGGGAAGCAGGAAGAGCTCTAAGATTAAATTTTTCATTTAGTTTTGGTAGAATAAAATCAATGTCAAAATATTATGCTTTTGATGAGTATATTTAACTGTACGGTCATTAATCTGAGTTAAAAAGCTCATCACTTACAGTAAATATATACATATATTTCAAGATCCAATACATAAATGAGATAGAACTTTTAATATAATTTATACTTCTACATTAATGAAATGTGTCTTCTGGAAAAAAAACAAAAACAAAACAAATAAACCACCATGTCGTAAGTGAATCTGTTTAAAAAAGTTTTGTATGTAAAAAATTTCCCCTCAGAGTGTAACCTAAAGGGGCTACAAGGCGCTGCAGCAGCTGGGCTGCGCTCAGGCTGGTGCCAGACAGGAAACGCAGTGGTTTTGGAGCTGAATCAGAGCCAGCACAGAAAGGAGGACTGTGAAGATGGGGCAGATCAATTAACCATCATGCATAGGCACACAGCAGCTCCTAGCATAACAGCATGGTCAGTGCAAATAACACTTTCCTTGGATGAGTAAACAGGGGAATATCAGGTTGAAATAGGAGACAGATGACACCTGTAATTAGGACTCACTGGGGATGACAGTGTTTAATTCCAACACGGAAAGTGTTGATGAATCACAGTTCCGGAGGAGAGGCACAGTTATTATTCAAGATTTGGAAAAAATGTATAACAGTGAGAAACTCGAGAGTATAACCTGTTTTGTTCAACAAGAAAAAGGATTAAGGGTTATTTGAATAGAACCTAGAATTCTCTCTGCTTGGAACACAAACTGTAATACAAATCTCAGAAACTGCCAAACAAAATTTAGCATCTGGGAAATGAAGAACTGGAATAGGCGCATTCCGATCAGACACAGAAGTTCTCTTTATAGCTGTAACTGTATTAAGTTAGAAGAACCTGCCAATGTTTGTGCTGAATTTTCCATCGCTGGAAATGCCTAAATCCTACCTATGTTTTGTTTTACGTACAAGGTTGCACGGACTGAATGAGCACTACAGTCTCTTCTGATATCAAATAAGAAAAATAATTAGATACTATCCCAAAATTCATTCTCTCTTTCCAAATCTGCCCACCCTTCATGAATAAAAAGAAAGGTCCATCATGACATACAGAATCACAGAATGGCCCGGGTTGGAAAAGACCTCAAGGATCATGAACCTCCAACTGTCCTGCCACATGAAGGACCACCAACCTCCACGGTTAATGCTAGACCAGCTGCCCAGGGCTCCATCTAACCTGGCCATGAACACCTCCAGGGATGGGGCACCCATAACTCTCTGGGCAGCCTGTTCCAGCATCTCACTATTCTCACAGTAAAGAACTACAATACAGGACTTCAGAAATAAAACATTTTAAAAGCACGAATTAAGTGTTTGATCCTATATTTTCAAAAGCACAGGTTTCTACATGTATAATTAGGGGAGAGTGCAAACCAAGCTTCCGAGAAGTCAAAATAGCTCCCCGATTGCATGAGGCTTGCAGCCTTGAGACCAGTTCTACGTGGTTCTGGTAGCAGCTGTTTTTCTTACTGCTCTGAAATGTTTTCATTCCAAACTTAATAGTACATTGAGAGAGTCCCAGGATGCCACCGTGCAGAGCAAGAGCTGTCTCACTCTTCTCTTGGACACCAGATAAATAGACTGAATGAGGGGCTATATTTAATCCATTTCAAACATCCAAATGAAATATGCTTATTTGCTTCTCATGCGGGCTAGTACGTATTTCATTTAAGGATGAGCCTAATGGAAACAGCAAGTGATTTGTTACCGTCTTCAGTGAAAGTCAGGACTATACTTACAGTGCAGATGGGAACATAAAGCTTTCTGAGAAGAACATCCAGCAAACTGAATCATTTCATCTTCTGAACATAATAGACCTCCACATTTACACGTGCGCTTTCTGAACAAATTACATCTCACAGCTACTTGGGCTTTGCTCTTATTTCTACTGTTTAAGGTCTTCAAAGTTTTAAGTATTTTATTTTTAAAACTTTAGACCATTAACTTCCTTTGTAGTTGCTGCTACCACGGTAAAAAAAATGCATTGTGTTTGCTTTCGTAGGTGAATGCACATTATTCTCTTAAGCTCACTCACCACTATGAGCTAAATAACAGTTTATTTTACTAAGATTGTGCTTTTATCGGAACTAAGACAGGAATTCAGGCTAGCTGAACAGTTAATCCTGCCTCAGCATTCCATCAGGAATCAAACCACCATCAACACAGTTAAAGTTCTGCCCATGCAATAACAACCATCTAACCAAACAGAATTCTACAGCACACTTACCCAGTTTTTGCAAAACTTGCCCAATATCTTAACATGGACCGGCTCAAGATTTCTTCAGCTTTGGTGTAATTAACTCTTCTTTCTAAAGGCAATCCGAACACAAATTCAATCTCATAACCGTGCATTACTCCCATCCACTCTGGCCAAGGGAGTTTTGAGGATCGATGTTCAAAGAAGTAAAAGAACACGTTGTTCCCTACTTCTGCAATTTTTTTGGCAAACTCCATCACAGGACATATTATATGGTAGTCCCCAATAACGTCATCCATGGCATCGCGGTAATGTTCTGGTTTTTGCTCATTTTCCCAATCCGTGTACTGAAAAATGATAGATTCTATAGCAAGTTGGCTTGCTTGTGGAAAGGACAGAGTTAAAGCTACTTCAAATTGTGTTTTATTGATCAAACTATCACTGTCCTTGCTGAAGCCAGGGACTCCATATACTAGAAAACTCGTTCCTTCATCTTTGTTAACACCAACCAAAATCTGTGTTTGCTTGAAAATGCCATTCTCAACCAATGTTTCTGGCATGTCCACTAAAAAATCACCATCCACAGTTGGACAAAAATAAATGTGTAAAAGAGAGAAATAATTTACTACATAAACTTCATTCTCCAATATGTCCTTGGGGTCCTGGTCTTGGAGGCAAAGAATTAGCTCTGTCTCATCGCTGGTGGGACACTGGAGTTGTTTAGCTAAAGCTACTGTTCTCCTTCTGGCTTCAGACGCTGGAACTGCAGTCCAGGGGGCATTTGCAGACCCACTTTGCATGATGGCTCTTGTGAATAATGGATGGCTTTTAGGAGAAAGGATATGGTAGCTGACAGAAGCTGAGCCAGCGCTCTCTCCGAATATAGTCACACTTTTTGGGTTGCCTCCAAAAGATGCTATGTTTTCCTGAACCCACTGAAGTGCCAATCTTTGATCAAATAAACCTGCATTTCCAGGAACTTCCTTGTTTCCTGGCAAAGCCAAAAATCCTAACGCACCAGTTCTGTAGTTCATGGAAACTACAATGACTCTTTCTACTCTGGCTAGAAACTTGCCATCATAGACAGGTAGGGAAGTTGACCCAGTCTCAAATGCACCCCCATATATCCAAACCATGACAGTTGCATTCTTGGGCTTGGGAGAAGGAATCCATACATTAAGGTATAAACAGTCTTCACTTAAGTTAGTTTTTGGATTCCACATCTCTGTTCCAGGAAACCCAGGGTAAGTTGTATCTATAAGCTGGTAACAGGAGTTCGCGTGTTTAGTGGCATTCCAGATACCTGGCCACGACTCGAAAGGCTCTGGTTTTTGAAATCTCAGTCTACCAACAGGTGGTTTTCCATAAGGTATCCCAAGGAAGGCTGTCACAGTCCCTCCCAGTACCTGCAGGTTCGTTCCTCTTACTCTGCCTTGCTTGGTTGTAATAATATTGTCTTCAGGCACTACCTTCCTGATGAACATATACAGGAGAAGAAGCCACATGAGAAATCTGGCACAGATGCTCATCCCATTTGCCCAAAACATGATGCCTGAAAGACAGGAAAAAAGAAATTCAGGATTATCATTTCCATGTATTAACACCAGAGCCAAAACTGTTCATTCAAAAAGGATGCAGATCATCCCAAGAGAACTTAAATTAAGATGGTGCTTCTGCACAAAGCTCAAACAGTCTTTAACCATACCTTGTTGTCAGTCTTGTTGTAAAAGCTATGTTCAGGATTTAATGCTTTGTTCTGTAGCACTGTACTACTTTGTTGCTAAAAATACACAGAAGTAAGGAAGTTGGACCAGAGAATCAAGGAATGGTCATAGATCATATGTTTACAAGCCACCAGCAATCTCACACTGTCTGCAACAGGTGACTTCACTACTTGCATTTCCACCAGCACAAATAGCGGAACATCTTACAGTCTGTGATACAGAAAGCTGTGCCCAGTGAACCATTCTTGTGCTAGGAGCTTCTTTAGCAACTTGAACACTCAGATCAACAAGGGCAGCTAATAGACATCACTAGCCACAGACTTTTCCCACACGTAAACATGCATTCTGTGAACCCTGGGGGGAGGGGAAGAGGAGGGAGGGAAGAGGCTAGAAAGCAAGTTTTAATCCAAGGATTTCCAAATCTATCTAAGCTTTGAACCATGTCCACATCACAGCACATGCCTGGGCTGAAGCAAACCATCAGGACGGCATTGCTGTGAACTCCAAGCAGCCCTGGGTGGTCTCACTGCCTTACCCATGTATCTTCAGAGCTGAAGCAAGTGAAGTGTGAAAAGGGCCTCTGAACAGAGTGCCAGCTCATGAGCTCGTCTGGGTGACTGCACAGAGAGGTACACTAAGACCTTAATGAAATATCTTTTGCAAGATCTTATTTCCCTAAAGCAACTTAACCAGGTTCTTAACCAGGTTCATAACCATCATAATCATGACAAGTAATATATTTTTATGAGTTAAAATTAACATAGAAAAAAAAAAAAGTTTTCGTTTGTTTGTTTTGTTTATTTTAATTTACACTATTGGGGCTTCATAGTTTAAGTATGGCCTGGTCTTTTCTCCCTAAGAACTAAGTAATAGCTAACATTATATTAAAGCAAAGGATATAGATATTATGTATCCTGTTTAAGCAGATTAGTAGTCCTATATACAACAACCTTTCCAAACACTCTTACAAACACCCAGCTTCATCCTCTCAAAGTCAGAAAACTAGCATTTACATAAACCAATTTCTATATCTTACATATTTGAAAACATTCAACAAAGCTTTTCTCTATTTTTTCCTTATTGCCCTGTTGTACATAGCCTACTCTGTCCAGCCAGTTTAAACAGGCCATTCTTTGTTAATGAGAAGCACTTGTGCCCTTAAAAGGAATGTGGCTAATTTCTGTGGAAAGTACAGCTTTGTGCTTAAGACGAGCTCCTTTCCCTTGTTTGCATATTGCTAGAAATAAACTAAGAAAATAAAATAAAAAAGGAACAATTTGTGCAACAATGTTCCTGACTTTGAGATAGCATTAAACATATGGATGAGAACCTTCAGGATCAATATTTATACTATTAATCAAGACAGGTAAGCAATAGGCAAACTTGAGAAAAATGAACTGCATGTTCTGTCTTTTTATTTGAAAAAAAAAAAAAAAAAAAAAAAGGGTGGTGAAAAGGGATAATAAACCTTAAGCTTTGGTCTAACAAATCCACCCAGCCTTAATCTTGGTGTGTAGGAATCTGTCCTCTTGTATGCCAAACCTCCATCAGGACTCATGTGGGGCAGCAGCCCCTACAACACTCCAACAGCTTGCAGAGCTGCCCTCACTGGTGCTAGTCTTTTTTCGTCCATTCATTCCCACAACAAAATCTTCTAAGAGCTGGATTAGAAAAAGTATGTAAGGATTAGGGTAGGGCTAAGCTCTTTGCCCCCCACCTCACAATCAACTCAGTAATAGTAGGAAGTGTGCATCAACTACAGAGCACTGTAAGGTGGGAAAAGTAATTAGGTCTACCAGTTCATTGACACTTTCTCCTCATCACATATTTATTTCTAATGCATTGACCCCAAGACTGAGAGACAGCAGCAAACTGGAAATGGTAAAAGGTTTCAGTGTCATTACCAAGAAAACAAATGGCAGTAAGAAAAAATAAGAGATGTTAAAGGTCCCAAGGCTTTTAATGTCTACATTGTAATTAAAGTTAACTCCCTTCTGCCCTCTCCAGTAAATTAAAAAAAAGAATGGGACAGGAATATAACACTGTAGTAGCACTGCAAAACACATAAGTGTAACTTTCGATCCCAAAGGCAGGAATTTTAGACGAGAAAAGAATTAAAGATTCAGTTCTGCACCACCATCCCAATGATCTCTGCAATAGCATAGGTAGAAAAGTATGAAGCAGATCAAGATTAAAAAATGCAGGAGTTTCGTACTGCTGAATGAAAGAGTTTGCCTGCTCTCATGTTTCTCTATACCGACAAAAGTAACAAGGGCAGCTTATTATGACACCTTCAGTGTATGACTAATATTACACTTAGTAAGGTTTCTTACGCTGCATTCAAACAAACCCAAAGTAAAGTTGAATTTACACTGAGAAACGTTACATGAGGAAAAACAAATATCACTTATTACTACTTAAGTAAAACAGCAGCAGAGTGCTTCAGCTCATCAACCTCAGCCGAGAAGAGATATATCATATAATGCATTTGCATACACTAAAAAGCCAGTTTTGTGGTAGTTTTCTCCAGCTAAAGTTAAATAGAACATGCTTTTATATTCTTATTCCACAGGGGAATAACATTTATTTCAATAATTGTTTCTTCTCCCTGCAAATCTTTACCCAGCCACAAAAATAAAATAAAAAAAAAAAAAAAAGAAAGAAAAAGAAAAAGAAAAATACTACATAAAATAGTAAAGTCACTATTTAAATAGAAAAGATGGCTGAATTAATAAGTGATTTCTGGCACATTTTAATTTACTCAGCCCAGGATCCCTTAAATAACACCGAGGTCTGATCCACGCGCCTGCTTACTCGTTCCATTTGCAGAGCAAAGCGAGTTTTCCCAAGAGAGCAACAAATGGGCAGAGCAGAGCGTTTTAAAAGATCACAATTCCCATGCAAATCAAGCGGAACCGTAAATTACCCCTGGCAGACAGAGACGTGGAAACAGAGAATCACTTACCTCACTTCTATTACAAGAACTACAAAGTTTTAAAGGTTCGGGGTCTTTGAATACTTCAGGGAAAACGCAGTGTGCAGCTGCTGCTCTAAGCCCGTAAATTGGACAGTACTGACATTATAATCAACTGTTTCTGACACAAAGCTCGCGAGAGTTGGCAGCAGCAACTTGATCTGCAGGCAGCATTCCCTGTTAGCCGACATCTGCTCCAAGGCACATGGTACCGCTGGAGAAACGCTACAAAGGGAAACTCTTTTGGGGGAAAAATCAGCCATCCACTTCTATAGGAAAGGGAAGAGGCAATGATTTGATTTTTAGCACAGAGCAACGCTTTGATAATCCGGGAAGATCAACAGATTTATGAACACAGTCAAACCCTGCCTTTCTTTCCTTCATCGTGCATAGAATGCTGCCCATGCCTCTCAATTTTTTTTTTTTTTTTGCTGTTGTACAGCTCAATGTTAACACAATGTGAAAGTACTTCAAGTTTTTGTTTTCGCTGTAGCATAAGTCACTATTTTTGGTTATAAGGCAACTGTTGGCAGATAAAAGAGGAGTGTCTGCTGTGCAGACATGTCAACAGCTGGCAAGCATCACTGGCATTACTTGACTCACGGCCATCTGAGGGCTACAGCTGAAATTTGCTCTGCCTTGTCCTGGCTTCATGGTGAAGAACTGCACCCAGATGGCATCACACAGTGCCTTCAGTCTCCTCTTAGGGTTAAAATTAGAAATCATCCCTCTGCTTACTCAGTGTGATGCCCTCCTTTCACCTGGGTCTGTTAAGTACTGTTTCCGTCAGAATGCGTGGCTGGGGGTGCCAAGCCAGTGTAAGTGCCAGAGCTGTCAGGGCTGCTGCACAGACCAGGCCAGGTGGCAGGGACCTGTGGTGCTTGTGACTTGCTCCGTCTCCAGCTGGGAGCAGGACCTGTGGTGCTGCCTGACAGCATGGAGTTGATTCCTGAGAGATTATGTCAATTGCAGATGTTTTGAACTACTGAAGAAGGCAGAACAGAGAAGAGGAACGGAGGAGATAAACTGTATAAACCACCTTCATAAAATGTCTTATCAAACTCACGCCCCTGAGCTAACACATGAAATCATCCCTTGGTGTTGGGGCTCCTGAGCAGATGTACTCTCTAATGTCTCTCTAAAATAAAAATACCCACTTTTCCACTTTTCAAGGTTTGCTTCCAGTTAGAGCTCAAAACACTTACTTTCCCTCTGCTTAATAATCAAACTACAGCTCTGTTTCAATTACACAAAAGCAATATTTGGCAATGCGTAGAACAGAAATAAAGCAGAAATAAAATGTATGAAGTTTATAGACCTTGACATGGAGACTGTAAATGACTTTTTTTTTTTTTTTTTTTTTTTTTTTTAAAGCTAGCACATGAAATAGTGTTTTAATACAGGAAAGCTCAAGAAAGCACTGTCAAATGGTTTATTCTGATAGCTTTATGGTCTACTTTCAGGATCACATATCTGATAGGTAAATTGCAGGGACATATTTGTGGGAGAGAATACATCCCTGATTATAAACCTCCAAATTTTTAGTGTGGAAGCATCCAACACAATTGCTAGCTTGAAATTCAGAACTCTTAGCCAGGATCTTGGTCACAATTACATAAATAACAAACCAGGATTAATTTGGAGCCAATTTCAGAGGCAACCCCAGGTGATTAAAATAGTTTAAGGGCAGTTTCCTGAATGAAGCAATATGTTTTGCCATCTGAATTAAGGCAGTTCCACATGTTCTCTGACATGCACTGACTTTCTCTAATACCTGATTCAGGAACACTGCCAGGTGACACACAGAAGAATGAATCAAAAGCCCCAAATCGTACAAGAGACCACTTAAATGAG